CCATACTTCAGGAATGTGAAATATGACTGACCTGTTTACTTCTATTATATACCAGTAAATTTTACAGCTTGCCCATTTTGTATTATAATAAAGCCAAACTTCAGGAATGAGAAATATGACTAACCTGTTTCTTTTTTTACACACCAGTAAATTCTACAGCTTGGCCATTTTGTATTATAATAAAGCCATACTCCAGGAATGTGAAATATGACTGACCTGTTTACTTCTATTATATACCAGTACTCTTCTTTTGACAACTGTTCATCATTAACTTGAAGTGTGTGACCATGTTTGAGAACTTGTGTGCCACCTCCTGCATTCCACAAAAAGTGAATCTTACGGTTGACCATCTCTATTGCCATAAAGTCATCCTGAATGGGGAAAAAAAAGTATACAGATTTAAGAAAATAATTTAATCCATTGTTATGTTCTACATACATTGCTTACTTGTTGTTATTCATATAATTATCTATCAAGTAAGGTCAATAAACAAATATATATATATATATAAAGTATAAGGTAATTAATAAGAACTATAAACCAAAAGCAAATATACATATTCAAACTCAGCAAATGCTCTGCAAATATCTATTCAGTTAAAAAAATAACTTTTCATATCAGTTTAGCAACCTTTTTTTTTAACAACAATAAGCAAAAGTACCACATTCATCCTTCCACTAGGTTTTGGTTTCTGTACACAAGTCCTTAGAGAATTTGATATACTATTGGTTGTTAGTAAGAAGCAGAAAAATATAATGAATAATATAAGCAAGGATAAGTTGAGCATTTAATAAACAAAACAACCTTTTTTTGTAATAATTGTTAATTATTACTTTTTCTATGCCAATTGAAAACAAGAAGAGATAAGGTGGGCCAGAACCGACTTAAAACTACCAAACGATCTTGTTAAAGAATAGGTATTAAACTTTAACACTGGTTGTCTGTCATGACCATGTATTTCAGATATCTTACTTCTTTATGTCCCCAACAGATATTCAAAGTTTGTGTTATATAGCTACTTACAGATACTGTACTGGCTAGATAAAACAGCAGGCTGTCACGATCATCTTTTTTGTTGAGTGCATAATTAAGGATAATATTGTTGGTAGTTGACGGCCGAATCTGTGGTTGATATGACCTTACACATTTTCCATTCTTGTCAGTGGTCAAAGACACTTTGAGCTAAAAGGAGTTAGGCATTACTGTAATTAGTTTTTAAGTCATTGAACTTCACTATAATGTATTAACAACTTAAGTTTTATAAAATACGTTCTTCAACTTCACTTCTTTTACAAAAAAAACTCAAGTTGTAGAAAATAGTTTTGACCATTATAAATCTCTTTATGTGTTTTTACTGCAAGGTATCTTCACATAATGTTAGTAAGTACTTTTTGAAAAGTAACAGGAATGAAAATTTGCAATAAAACTTTCTCAAAGGTCATTATAGTTAAGTATAATTATTATCTTTCTGTTATAAAACATGTGTTGATACTAAAATCTTGATAAGAACTGTAACACGTCAAACATCACTTACACTGGAAGCCATTTGTCTGGCAAACTTGATTTTGTTCTTTAATTCTTTTAGTTTCAGTTGAGTATCTCTGTGCCGTGACTCTACTGTCTTTGCAAGTCTCTCTGTTTCTTTGGCCTGCCTCCTGAGATCTACTGTGTCATTTCTAGCTTTATTGACTGCAGAGAAATGAAATAGAACTAAATGTATTTCAGACTTGTGAGTATCAGTCAACTCATTACTGTGATAATAATGCTCCAGATTTAACAAATGTACAA